CCGTTTCAGTAAGATTTAACCTCTTAAGGAAATTGTTTTAAAAGCAGTCAAAAATAATGATTAAATTATGGGATTTACATGAAAGAAATCCTTGGCCCATTCATTTTTTTTTTTTTTAAATCATGGCAATTTGTTTTTTAAAAGGTGTTTGAAGTCTCTGAATCTACCTCTTGGCACCATTAAAAAAAAAAAAAAGTCGTTTATAATCCCCTAATGTGCTTAAATAAAGCCTCCAGTAGTTTAAATTGTTATTAAACATCTTTTGGGATTATAATTTTATGGCTTTTTTTTCCTGATTAGATGATGAACATGAAGATCATCAAATACTCATCATATAACAAACCAATTACATTGTATAATCCCCAAAATGAGGTTTGAATCCCAACATTTTAAATAAGCTGGATTTAAAGGATGCAGAGAATTCACAATGAGCAAACAAAAAAATTGAAAAGATACCTCCTGAACTCCCTTCTACTAGTTTTGAACAAAAAGGCATCATTGCTATAACAAAAGTATAGCATGGGTTGAAACAGAAACTAATCCTGCTGCCACAAGTAAATTTACACAGATCTGACTGTAGGAAAGATTACTTTTTCTTCCCTTTCCATTCCTCCAAGCCTTTCCCTCAGTTCACAATCTCTGCTGAGGGCTATACATTACAGTGAAGAGATCTGCTTGAGAAATGGTGGTGAGATATGATCCCTGAATGTTAAGTGATCCAAGAAACAATTAAGTAAGAGGGGCTGTAAAATATTGCTGGGCTGCAGCATACCCTGAAATTATCTTTAGGGCAACCTTATGGAGCCCAGCTTCAAAACAGGTCTGGTTTGCCCCAGTCCCTCCTCCTAACTTTGCCATGGCATTTGATGTTCATCTGATACTACCTCCCCCAATTTTTGATTCAAGCTCAAACTATTAGTAGCTCTTTTTATTTTTTTTTCTCAATCCAAGTAGTTACAAGATGTTCCACTTCAATTTGAGAGCAAAATCCTAAACACAGATTTCACAAACATCAAAATTTACAGGCAGCTGCTATAATCCACCATCAAAAATTTCAATAAGCTCCACAGCTACATTTGGCCTAACTAGTGGCCAACCTGGACAGCTCTCCCAACCTAGACATTTCATCAAAATCAAGGCAGAATAGCTAAACGGTGAAAAATAAATCCTGCAAAATCCTGAGTGTAAGCCTGATCATCACTTTTGCTATTGTTCTAGCTGATTTTGTTGTTATTATTCTGAAGGGAAGATAAAAAAAAAAGGGCAATTTGGACGAATTTATCCCCTGAAGTGTTTCAGAGCATACTGCCTGCATCCGCAGAGGACAGTGCTTGCCTGCCCTTTGGGCATATGTCAACTCAGCTCTGCACATCAGTCAAAACAACAGTGGGGCTGCAGCCTTGACACTGGGTGGGAACTATTGCCCAAACACTTCAACGACTGGAGAGGCTATGGCCCTGCATTTGATTATTTTTTTCTTTTTCTTCAATAAAGAAAAAAATAATTTTCTCCTAAGTGGGAAATAAGAATGTTAGGAAATCAAGTCAGTACACAGAGGAAGACTTAATACTCTTGGAGATGGAATAACTGCACAGAAAGAATTAAACCAGCTTATACACTTTGAAAAGATTGTATTAGCCCAACATTTATCTTAAGTCTTTCCAACCATTAATCATTAGTATGACAGACACAGCAATTACTGTCTATTTTGTTTAATTCCGTGCCACTGATGTGTATTAATATTACAATTGTGAGGAAAAAAGATTTGCCTTTGAAAAGGAGGGCTCCCATCTAACACCCCAATTAGGAAGCACCAGCAGTCAAGGGGATGCTGGATTTTGCACTTATCCCCTGCTTGTTTCTTTCCTGCCGTTTTCTGGATGGGAAAGTGAAGGCAGGTTAAGCAGTGAGGACAAAACTGAGGTATCATCTGCCCTGACATATCCCCTGCCTGAATAAAACCACTTCCCTATTTCTCCTCACCTCCTGTCCACACTAGGGAAGACCAAATTCACTAATAATAAATAAATTATGTATGTGGGATCTCTAGTTTCCTCAGCTGACCATTCCTCAGGATGACTCCTTCCTGCAGTGAGGAGCCCAGCTAGGGACCCTGTCATGCCTGTGTGTAGGGCTGTAAGAGCAGCCATGTAGCACTTGAGGCTATGGTCTAGTGGGTAGGGAAACGCTGGGATGGTGGTTGGACTTGCTGATCCTACAGGTCCTTTCCAACCATAGTGACTCTATGAGGCCCAGACACCCTCCTAAATGAATTGGAGTCTTCATTCTTTCCATCTCTCATCTCCCTACTCCTCAGTTCTGATTGCAGCCATGATTTGGGCCTGGTTTGGTTTTTGGGTTTTGGTCGAGAGGACAGCACTCCAAGCAGCTTGCTAATGTGTTATATTACTCTAGCTCTAATTACAGTGGTGACTCTTCCTCCCTGGCCTAGAGGACATCTTCCTCCACACACAAAACCCACTGCTCTTCCAGATGCACAAGTTCTTTGGTGCCATCTCACACTCCCAGCTGACACATGCTTGTAAGAGCCTACGATGTTGTCCAGTCATGTTTTACTTTGGGGAAACTGTCTACAACCCCACCTGGAGTCTATTTGAAAGGTTTATCTCAAGGTCCTCGTTGGAGAAGGTTGGGCTGGGTAAACCAATTCTGTCTTACTGAACTGATCAGACAATACTGGAGCTACCCTGATGCTGTCAGAAAAAGGGAAAGCTGCCCTGCAATAAAACTGTATGCTTCATCTGGCTGGGCTGGATCCGTGCAAGGGAGGTGGATTTTTAAAGCAAGCTTTATCTTGGTGCTGTAAGGCGGAAAATGAAGTGGCTTTGCTGCATGGGTCCTGGGAGGTTCCTGTATTTGGGTCTTCCAGAAGAAACCACCTTACAATCAGATGCACAGATGGTATCTCCCAAGGACAGCTCTGCAGCAAGCTCCACAGGCACTCATCTCCTCTTTTGTGCCCCATTACTGCACAGCAAAAGAGTGAAAAGTCACTTGCACCCTCACCTGCTCTGGAGAAAACAGTGATAGGGCCCATTCTCTGGTCCTGAGGCTGTATGTGAAGCCAGCTGCTGGGTAGGTCAAGTGCATGTGGCTAAATGCTCAACACAGTGTGGCTTCTGCCATAAGGTCTTCTGAGATCACCCTTGCTATCTTCTGTTGTGCTTCCAGGAACGGTTTTGGAGGGTGGTAGCTGGCCCAGGCTAAGAACATGCTGGAGACTCCTCAAGAACTTTAACAGGATAGACCATCATGTTCCTGGGCCTGGGTAATGTTTATTTAACCAGCACACACACAGCAACACGCCACTTCTAGGAAAAAATACTAATGATATTAATAATAGTAATATATACTACTTAATTTGTAATTCCTCAGCTGGGAACGATGGGGACTGACATGCAGTTGCCCAGTGTCCCCAGGTGTGCCCTGTCCTGGCTGCAGAGCTTCCAGGGCATCTCCTTAAACCAGAACCTATACCAGCTGTCTCAGGCTGGTGTGAACACCAGTGCCAGCACAGCATCCCTGGACTGTTTTGGAGGCACATGTCCTTAATCTCATATCTACCTGAGGAGACACGCCAGGCTGTCTGCTCATCTTGGGTGAGGACCTAGAACTGGGGAGCCACCAAAACCAAACGGGACCTCAGCCTTTGGAAGTGATGCGCTGAATGCCACAGGGACAGGGCTAAGGAGCTGGCAAAGCTGGGGCTTACCTAGAGTCTGCCAGGAAGAGATTAACTTGGAGATACCCGAGGTCCCCTCTGGCCTGGGAGGAGGAGGGCTCCGGCATGAAGGTTCATTCATAGCAACCCAGGACCGCGTGGAGCAGGATTCCCCTCCTGATCCCCGTGCTGACAAGAGTCATGGCAGCTATCTGGTTTCTTGGCTCAGCAGGGGATGGAGGGGCGATGTGCATGAGCGCTTCCTCCAGTTTATGAGCATACCCTTGGCAGAGCTCCCACCAGGGCTGGGCAAGCTGGCTGGCTTCTGGTTTCATCCTGACCCTAACTACAGGCAGGGAAGAGAGTCAACCGCTGGGATTAGAGGCGAGAGCCATTCTTCACTACCTCCTGCAGACTCCCAGCACCCTTTGCCTGGCCCTTATCATCCTGGCACAGCAAAGCTCAGACAGAAAACCCGGGGCCAAAGACCCACATCTCCCACAGTGCATGACACACAGCGACAGATCACCACTATTTGATGGGAAAGAATGGCATTAAAACCACTTTTCTAAATGCTAACGTGAGAAGGTGTGGTACACACAATAAACTCTTGAAAGGAGCTCCAGGATCCAGCTTAACCCCACACACCTGTCCAGAGCTTTGATTTCTAATCCCAGGAATAATAAAAAAAAGAGACAGGTACCTGTGGCAACAGAAATAGCTGCGCATCCCCCCACCCCTTTATAACGTTAAATACAGGGGTAACTTACACTCTGGGAATGAGAACATCTCAAAGACAAAAATTATACTTTGCTATTAAACCAGATACATTCAGACCTTTCATCAGGAAGCTTCTGATGATCTCTGAAAAAGATGTGAATAAGGTCTTTGTTTCCTTTTGGCTTTGTTTTTAATCTCAGCAGTTCTTCCCCGCGGTTCTGCGGAGCACAGAACCAGGGGCTGGGGGCTGCTGGTCAGCTAAGGGACCTGCAGGGGCAGGACGGGCCTCTGAGGTTATGGGGATAAGCTTAGTCACACTTTGCAGTGACATCCTGTTAACAACTGCAACTCGAACCAAAAAAAAAAGTCTAAAAACAACACACATACACACACAAAAAAAAACCCCAAAACCATAAAAACATACACTCCGTGGTCTTCCTCTGGCATCTAGCAAATGAGGCAACAACAACAACTCTGCTCGGAAAAGTTCCCTGAGCTGCCTGTCAGCAACATCATATTTCTTTTTGCTATCTATGACTACTACAACTATGACATTTTCCATGTTTTATTTTGCATATGTGATCTAGAGTTCACTTACTGTTAGATGCTGGAACAGCCATGCCCTCATGATATTTGTGGCTACTTTGGGAAAGATGCCACGCTTTTTATGTCGCTTTTTGTCCTTATCTGGATCATCATCATCACCTGTGCTGGGGGAAGCTACACTGTTGTCCAAGCCGTCACCTGTAAATATAGTGAATCAAATTTTGACTTATGCTACCTTTATATACTTCAGTCGAAGCCTGGCTTTGGGTATAAACTGCATGAATATTTAAATGAGGTATAAATTCTTTAACACCGTAATTCACCAAGGGTTGTGGGGATGGGAGGGAAGAGACATGGGGAGAGGGAGGGTCTCAGGACTGTGTTGGCCCCGTTCTGGTTTATCCTGAAGGACGCTGTGGCCATATCTGCCACTGTAACCCAAACCAAAAAGTGCTTTAAAAAAGAATTAATTAAAAATTTTCTGCAAGCATCCAGCTTGCAAAGGTGGAAACGGTGGCTTTTCTTCACACTAGGTCACTTCCCCAAAATTCATCCCAATCACCTGCTTGGGTTGAGATGGCAATTAGGGAAGTATTGGTGGTGTCCCATCCCTGTGGCGTGTGTGAAGCTGGGAGCCCCGTCCCGCTCTGGGATGTGAAAAGTGGGGTGAATGCAGCTCTCTTGCAACATCACATTCTCTCCCCAAATTCAGAAATAACCAGAGGACTGGGGCATTGCTTGTGTTGTCTTTTACAGATGTTTGACTTCCCCTGACATTTTGATGGGAGGTGAGTAGCTAACTGGCCTCCCCTCTTCCCAGCCCCATCCGAAAGAAACTCATAGTGGGATAAGTAGTTACCAATTTGGCATACACCATAGGAATTAACACCCTGCTTTGTGCCCATGTGCCACATCCATAATAGGTGTCTGCTCACGTTAAACAACAACTGATCCAGAATGAATTTCCTTAATGCAGAGAAGGTCTCAGAGAGTTCTCATCACATTAGCAACATGTCTGTGGGTGGATGTAACTGCATAGCAGCCAGCTTGGGTCTGGGCTGATGGGGCAGAGGTCAAAGGAAGATAAAACTTGCAGTGTCAGGCCAGTTTGCATGCAGTTTTTGTTTCAAACCCTGAAAGCAGTTTATAAACAAGTCCACAGAGCAAATCAGTCTTTGCATTCTCTGCATGTGGATTGAACGGTGTATCCTGGCTTCCAAGGACACTGTGTTTGTAGCAACATGGAATTGTGATGCTGTTAGGCAAGTGTTTTTTACACCCCCAGGCAAGAATGATCAAGAAAGTCATCTGAACTGGGCTGAATCAAAACTATCTCTGTTAGGGGGAAAAAAAAAAAAGAAAAAAAAAAAAAAAAAAAAAAAAAAAAGGATGCTGTCAAAATTCTTATTTCTTAAACAGCTTTCAGCACCAAAAAAAGAGAGTTATTATTAATGTTATATTTTTAGTAACTTACTGACCATGGCAGATTTATAATTGTCCTTATGACTTGGCCTGTTTTTTAATGAAATAGCAACCTTGGGCAGTTATAGAAACAAACAAGATTTTTATGAAGAAATCAGATATCCAACAAATTCTTTGAAAGCCCAGTATGTAAAAAAAGGGCTTTTATACAGAGAAGCAATTCACCATATAAAATAATAATTCATAAAAGAAACATGAGCAAAGGAAACAACTCAACAGCATTTAAAATTCCACGGGCTAATCCACTTTCTGTCTGCGAGAGGCAAACAAGGAAAAGAAAAGTATTACGCATTCATTGATTAAAAATGAAAAGCTTCTAACCTAATGACACTGCCTTTCACCACCTCCCTGCAACCGTCCACCCACCCTCTGCCCCCCTCCCCGTTTTTTTAAAAATACACTCTCTTCTCATTTCAAACCCCCTTCAGATTAATTTAGCAGGCATCGCCTCGTGCCTGACGGGAGGAGGACTCATTGATAATTTATGGAAATATCTACTATAATCCAAGGGAGATGACTTTTTTTCCAGCTTTGTGCATCAATAGATAATCAAGGCCTTCAAGCAGCCTTAGCTTCCCATTACCTCGGGCAAGAGAATTCCTGAAAGCATGCCTCCGGGGCACCTGAATTATATCCTCCATTAGGGGAGGAAAAGCTTTCTGCATTCCACCTATAACACTCCCCAGAACCTTTCCTGTTTATTTCTGCTGTATGAAAGCAGAAGCATTAGGAACAGGATTTTTTAAGTGAAGACTTATGTAGATACAATGGAGAAACCTTTCAAGCGCGAGCCAGATCACCTCCTTCAATCCCTGGCGGTGACCTATCCCAAATAAAAGGTTTCTGTTACATCATTAGCTCAAGCCAAAAACAGCCTTGGCTTAATGCACAGTTTGTTCTTCCTACTGTTTTTAGGCAAATACTGCTACTTTACTCCCATCTGGGAGGGAAATTACACTGCTGGGCTGTAATCTAAGACAAGATTTTCATTGGAAGCAAATGCTTTCAATCCAGTGTAAATACTGGTGCATGTTCAGAAAAGCCTAAAACAATAAACCCTGGCCCCGTCCGACACAAGTTAGAGAAAGTGAAAGGCAGGGAGAGGATAAGAAAGCGCCCGGCTATCCTAAAAGCAAATGCTTCTCTAGACTTTTATAAATTGTTTAACCTCTTCCACTTTTTTTAAATGGAAAATTGATCCTGTAAAGACTGAAACCGCAGAGAGAAGTCTAAATGGTCAATTGTGGATTTTAGTATTTCCATCTACTTTGCAACTCGATACACTCACCTCTGTGAGGTCTCCAGAGATTTTTTCCCCCCTCCCCCCCTTATTTTTTCCCCCCTCTTTTTAAAGATCACTAAACGAACTTGAAGCACCACTGACCAGCCACACGGTAGCAGCTACGAACCACATTTGTAAAATGTCAGCGGCGACTCTGTTCCTGAAGTTGACTTCTCCTGCCGCCAAATGAAGGCGAACTGAAAAGGTGGAAATAATCATAGAAATGATGCTAGTCCATAAACAAGCTTACAGCCTCATTAGTATAGCGGGAGGCTCCGCTGGGTGATTTATGCTTGTTTTGCTGATGCCATGAGGAAATGCCATAGGGCAACTTTAGCCAGCTGCTAATGGTTTCTGACAGCTTCTTAGCAACTAGTGCAAGCAACGCCGTGGCGTTTGCTAGTGACAGAAACCGAAAATGTCATATTATCTGCCCATGTGTCACGAAGTCCGTGTGGCAATTAACTAGTAGGCCAGTGACTGAGGGGCCAGAGGCTCTTCGAAATGGCCCGTGGCTATTCGGGGGGCAGAGCAGGCACATGGCTCCCGTTTACGCCGTGCATATGCATGGCCGTATGCACATCTGCATCACACTCCCTCCGTCTCAGTTGCCGATGAGTTTGGTCCACACGGATCCTTTGTCCATGGAGAAACTCCGGCTCACTTTCTCTTTAGGCACGGTGTGACATTATCAGAGGAACTGCAAGTAATCTGTCTTGATATGATGGTTGGAAATGGCACTTTAATTGGCAATACCTGATTCTCTGGTTTTGAGCGCTGGATCCAAAGGTGCTAGCTGTTTTTCTGCTCGCTCACAAATTAGTCTAAAAGGATTTAAGATCACTGAAGCAGACTCCTTGCCTGTCAAATTGCTGGGAGCACAGCGACTCTGCACAGCAACTAGATGCTATTTAAAAAAAAAAAAAAAGAACCAACAAAACAAACCAGAGCCTGTAAGGAGCAGGAGGAGAGCCCATGCTCTGCGCGCCCATTCCCCAGCGAGCAAAACCAGGCGCTATATGTCAAACTGTCAAACCTTTCAGCGTGGCCATTTGCCCTTTCAAATAATATTTAAGAATTGTTTTTACACAATTTTTTTTATAGGCCACGGTCTAGTGAAAGAGGCCAACCAACAAAGAAAGGAATTTGTACTACAATTCGTCCGTGGACGATTTCTTGCCAGACCTGGGCCTGTCCCCATGGAGTGAGGCAGGTGACCTGTGGCAGCTCCCCGGCTGTCGGGGAGCTCCGATTTCAAACGCCCTCGACTCCGGTGTCCCAGAGTTGCCTATTTAAGCACACCCAGGCATTTAGGCCGCGCTATCTTGTTCCTTTCAAGAAAGGATAAAGCAGCATTTATCGTATTCAGCCCTGCTGAATGGGTCAGGCTGGCTGTGCCAGCAGGGGCTCCTCTTGCCACATCCCCCTCCCCACCGCCATCACCTCCTACGACTTCCCTTCCCCTCCCGCTCCCCCAAAAATTGGAGGCAGAAGCAGCAAAGGGCAACTGAGTTTACAGCAGCTCCTTGAGTGGGTAACTCTCTCTTTGTCCCGGGTGATCTGTTAAAAACCTTTGTTGGCAAAATAGGTGCCTCTGGAGAACAACTTGGCACATGTGCTCGCCTCCAGCGGCTGTGGCCATTGCAGGAGTCAGGTGGCAATTCAAAGCCTCCTCCCCTTGCTGTCCACACTGAACCACAATGAAATGTCATCACTCCATGATGGCAGCATGGCATAGCTGGGCAGCTTTCCACCACACCAGCTCCCAAATCCATCCACAGACCTCAACTATAGAAGCTGCCCAGATATGACATAAATAGTCCCAGTCTCAAGTCAGGGATGTTTCAGAAAGGTTGGAAATTCAGATGTCCTAAAAACCCCCAGCCCTTTGTTCAACTACAAAACCCATGCCCTTGCACGTACCTCTTTAGACTAATATTCTCTAATGATTTTGAGCGACTAGAAATCTCAACAACTTAATGCCAAATATAGCTTTACTACAAGCATCTTCACCAGACGCAACAGGTTATTTCTCACTGCACATAGCCCCGTCCTAGGATCAAATCTGCATCTGGAGCACAAATATTTTTACATCGAAGAAAAACATGCTATTCTTAAAAAGTCTGCTTCCTACACCTCTGTCACAAAACCTGAGAGAGGTTTTGGAGTCCACTGTTCAGTTTGCTGGGAAAGGGTGAGAGGAGGGCACCAGCTTTGCTGCATCCACCAAACCATACATTGAACACCACGTTCCAGATTTTACAGTCCACTTCTAGATAAGCATCTAAATCCACTGCTTTAAGGAGTTCAAGGATGAAAATGTGAAAGACTTACTCAGAAGCCCTTGGAAAGATCCAGAATAACTTTTAAGCGGACTGACTAAATCAGTGTCCTCTGAAAGGTCCCTATGTTGACTTTATGTTTCCAGATCTCTCCTGCTAAAAGAAGCTTCTGCCTCCTGGAAAAACTTTATGGTTTGCACTTAATTTTGCATTTAATAAGCTAATATGATTTAAATGTGTGTTTGGACAAAAACTACTCACTTCTGTACTAAACTTGCAATGTTCTCAGTACTATGAATTGAAACACCTAACATGATGCCCAAAGTCTGTGGGCTTTTCAGTAGTGTGATTTTTTAGAAAAAAAAAATTCTATACTTTTTTTTTTTAAATCATTTAGATGTAAATTCATGCTTCTGCTACCATGAGAAATCCTACATTATCTAAGCCAAATATTTAACCGTTTGCTCTCCATCCACAGCTCTGTCGGTTCCTTTCTCTTCTAACCCCCCCCCCCCACACACACACACACAAGAACCCAAATCTCTTTAGTTACCTCTCCAGGTAACTGGAAAGCAAGATTCATTACTAACTTGAAGCAACATAATATACTAGAGAGATTTTAAGTGGCAAAATTACTTTCCTTAAACTTTCTTCAGTGCTTTGTGTTAATTTAGAGTAACATAATTTCCACATCTTTACCTATGTTATCACTTACAGAAACACATCTCCACTTTGCTGGACACTCACACATCCACCATGCTGACTTTTTATAGAGCAAAACCACTACGTGTGAAATGTCATTTTCCTATAAGGTACAAAATTATAAACGCTCAAAAAGCAGGTCCAAGGGTGCAACAAGTTTTTCTGTAAAACAAGAGCAAGAGGGAAGGAATCTGCCACAACTTACTCTTCACAGGACTTAAAACAAGGATTGTAATTTCTTACCACCAGCACTGAATGGACTTGGGCAATCAAAGAAGAATATGAAGGGTTTGGGTTGGTTGGTTTGTTTTTAATTTGTTTCTGACACAACCAGCTCCAACTTGGCAAAGGAATATGGTGAGCAAGTCACACCCAAACTACTCTGATGTGAGTCAGGGTGGCTAATAGTGCCCACAAGTATAGGAAGACAAGATTACTACTCAGAAATGATCATTCCTCCTTACAGCAAGGTGGGGAAGGAGGCAAGCTGAGCAGCACAAGGGCTTGAGCACTCAGGTATGCCGGGAGAAAGCTGGAAGGCACTGGCACAATCTGGGGATGCATGTCCAACTGGCAATCCATGCTGTATCTACTTGTTGAGGAGAACTAGAATTTTTGACATAAAAAGGCCTGTGAATTTAGAAATTTTTTTTAAAAATTACTTTAAAATTTACACACACACATGCACATAAATATTGCATATGTAACACTAACTCACTGTGACTGCTCTCAACCTGCCAAAGCCCAAGCAAGGCACATGAGCTAAGGATGGGGCTACCAACAAAAAGGTACTACAGAAAGCTTAAAGTAAGTGCAATTCCTTTATCAGGAAAAACATTTTCCATTAGTTTGGATCCACAACTAGTCACATGTGATGGAAGCACCAACTCCAGCAGTTCCTGAGTTCAATGACAAGCATCTCAATACATTGAATTGCCTACAGAACAGCCAAAAAAATTATTTACAATGACGATGAACGTGTGTTTGCAAATTTGAAACATGGATCGTTTATTTGCTTATTCCTTAAGGAAAAAGTCTTCTCAAATATACTTAATAAAAAGTTAATAAGGAACAACAAGGTTGAACATGAGTGTTAGTAAGGAAAAAATACCATGTGTTTGGGTTTTCACACATCTCTTAAGGAGATGCAGTGCATGTTTCATGCACAGATTCAGACTATGACATAAACCGTAGGAGGCTGTCAGTCACAGAGAGTATCCATATTTACAAGATACTAAAGGAAACAGTTGCAAAAATATCCTACACAAATATTATAGATGGAGTAACCTGGACAAGTATAAATTACACTCTGGCATTTGACAAATTTTCAAAGTTTTTTTTCTTGAATCATTGTACTTTGTTCTTTAGAGACAGGAGCACCTTCTTCTAGTAACTTGATCCTCCTTTTTGACTTGAATTCCCTTCAGGCAAGCACCGAGCAAATTAGCTGTCTATGCAAAGAGTAAAAACAGCATTGATGAATAGGGGGGGAAAACCCCGCAGATTTTACTCGTTTTCATTTGTTCGGCAGCTTTTTACAGCTGAAATGAAGGGAACCTTTTGCACAACGTAGCACTTCTTAATGGGGTTTAGAAAGCTCTGCTATTATGGGTAAGTTGTGTGATATTTCTGGAGCCACGCATCTATGCGCCGAATGAAATACTAAAAAGAAAGCAATTCATTGTATGGGAAGCAAACAACTTTCTGCTGCCAGCAACAGAAGTTTACTTTGAGCAGTTGGAAGCAAATACCCTACAGAAAAGTACCTGGTTAAACAGAAAAACATCCTGCTTTAACCAAGAATGGTAAAAAGCTTAAACAGGTTGTTTTTTGTATTTTTTTTCCTAACCTAAAAGCCAGCATGACAACCCTACCACTCCTTGGGAAAAGCTGTTTTTCAGTCATTCTCTCATTTTTGTTCAAATATAAGTCTTTTTTTTTTTTTGAAACCTGTTCTCTCCAACCTCAGCAGGAGAGCTGGCCTTCCCAGCTAAAGGTCCCACCGGTTGCATTCTCCATGAGAAGTCAACAGCACATGGCTGAGACACAGGTAAATTCACTGTTGGATTCAGCTGGACTTACTCCCTTGTGAAGCAGGGACACAAGAAGCAGCAGGAGGAGCACAGGACTACTCTGCCATGGGGGAAATATACCCCAAATGGCCACGAGGTCAACTGTAAATCTCTATAGCTCCTTAACAACTGTCTCTATCTTTGTGTTTATCCAGCTCCTAAGACACTTGACTCTTGGACTGAGCACAAGCAGCTGTAAGAGGCTCAAAGCAAAGATCAGAAACCTATTATGTATAAATTAAGGGACACGTTATCTGTAGAAACAGTTTATTACAGCAGAGCATTTAAGTAGGCTTCCTTCCCTAAACACAGCTAAATTGCCCTGGGCCCTGCCTGCATGCCTGCTCCAGAGGAGATGATGCTCTACATTTCATGTTTTACAACAGAAACTATGTGCCAGAACCTTGACACTGTCCAAACCATTCAAAATTAGGTTCTCCTATTGAAGAAAAAAAAAAAAAGTTTTTTTTTTAAAAAAATTGTTAGACAAGATAAGCCAGGATGCTTGGGATTGTTGAGCCAAACTAAAGTATTTTATTTCAGGGCAATTCAAGACCAACAACTGCTGGCCCAAGCTGCAGTGTCCTGCAGGAACTACAGTTCAGATGTTGTTTGCCCCAATTCCTCTTTTGTAGGACTGGATACTCTATGTCACAGGAGTCATACAATCATGATGAACAGGAGAGAATTTATCTATGGCTCAGGCAAATCAGGACTCATGATCTACCAAGCCCACATGAGATATTCCCAATTGGAAGTTCCTATGTGGTTTGTGCCAAGTGAAAAAGTTCATGCTGATATACAACGTATATTCTTCTGCTGCTGTCACCCATTTTAAAGCAGCAATAAACCAAATAAATTATTATTTCCCCTCTCCCTTGTCCATCAATTGACAATGAAAATCAAGACAACTGAAAGAAAACTAAAATTAAACTTCACTTTGCATGCCATGGTGGCATCACATACTCTATTTCCCCACATACAGAGGTCACTTTG